GAACACCTCTAGCTGGGATGCCACTCTGCTGCTGTCCCAGGGCAGTTGGTGTTGGCCAGCCACCCTACCCCCTCAGCTGACTGCTTGGCTGCATGCCTCTCTAGGGCCAGGCCACTTCTGATGACCCTACAGTCCCAGCTGGCATGCCTGACCACTCTGCATGGCACTTCAGGGCCGGGTTCACTTGCCGTGGGTCAACCACATCTCTAGCACTCCCACTGTGGCCACTCAAGAGGCACAGGCTGGCTCGGACAATAAGCCCTGACTCTCCAGCCCATCTACCTGGATGCTCTCAGGCTGCTCCATGGCCAGGTATGCTCAGCCAGACATTCCACACCACAGCATGGCATCCCACATTCTGCTGCCCGACTGTTGCTTCATAGCCACACAGGCTCCGGTGGCATCTCCTACACACAAGGCCACATGCCCGCTGATCCAGGGCCAGTAGAATTCAGCTGCCTGGCACCAGGGACTCAGGTGCACCCATTCCATTGCCCTTTACACTGCTCTAGGGCCAGGCGGCTCAGCAAGTGACCTCTCCCTCACATGGCCGATTGCAAACCAGCCTCTCTGGGGACAGTCCCATTTTCCTGGGTCTCTGGGGCCCCAGACAGTATACACTGATGCCCTGCTTGCCACTCACTCCAGGGTCAACCTTGATTGGCAAGCACCAGACATGCCTCTAGCATGCCTGTTCCAACACCCTGCCCCTGCTGCTGCTCAAGGGATAGCTGACTTTGGCAACCAACCCAGTTCCCTCAGCAAGCCACTTGCTGTGTGTGCCACACTAGGGCTGGGCCCATTCTACTGACAACCCTGAGGCCTCAGCCAGCATGAACCTCCAACCCCCCAGCATCTCAGGGCCAGGCTAATGGGGCCCTGGGCCCTCAGTGCCTCTAGCACTCTGGCGTGCCCACTGCAGCAGGCACAGCTCCCTCAGCAGATGACCCCTACGCCTCTAGCTCACCCATCCAGCTGCCTCACCAGCAGCTCAAGGCCCAGGTGGCCTCAGCCAGTGCCTTCCACACTCCCGAGCCCCACAACACCCCCATTCTCCCACCCAGCCTGCTTCCGCAGGGCCATTCAGGTTCAGCCCACACCCCCACCTCCCGCAGTCCCCTCCTGGGTCAGGCCAAGTCACTGACACCCCTTGCTTTCCCAGCCTAACTGCAAGCCGCTCCAGGACCAGGAGGGTTTAGCTGGCCCCACACACTTCTAGTCAGCACACAACACTCTGACTGCTGTTCCTGGACCAGGTAGGCTCAGCTCATGCCCCACGATGCTGCCCTATCAGTTACTCCAGGAACAGGTAGACTCAGCCTCTGCCCCACTCCCTTAGTGGGTTGCAGAGCAGCCAGCTGCTATAAGGTAAGGCATGCTATTATGGCAACCCTGAGGCACCAGCCTACAAGACCTGAATCCTCTGCTCCATAGCATTCCTGACTTTCCCCCTCACTCCCCCATCTGATGTTAAAGGGCCAAAACAGTTCTGGAAGGGCTTCCCACTATCTCAGCTAGCCTACCCCTCTCTCCAGGGCCACTACGGATGGGCTTGCTGTCACATGTGCCTCAGCCCACCTGACCCATCTCTACTGCTTCAGAAAAAGGTGTGCTCCTCCAGGACCCACAGCCACCCGTGACTCTGCCTGCTCCAGGACCATGCCAGCTCAGCCAGCACCAATCAGATCCAGCACACCCTTCCTGTTGACGAGCCAGGTGCATTTGAAGGCAACCTGTAGCACCAGCCCACATGAACCGAATTTCCCTGCCCAGAGCATGCCCACCCAGATGCCCTGCCTACTGTCCCAGTGCCAGAATGACTCAGGTGTGGCCTTCACACCCTCAGCTGGTCTACCAGCCACTCCATGCCAAACCAGGCTCCAACAGTGTCCATGCCCATAGATGCCCACCATCTACCACCTGCTCCAAGGCCATGCCTGCTTGGAAAGTGTGCCTGCACATTCAACATGCCCACCCCATCAGCCCCCTCACTACTGCAGGGTCATACCAGCTTGGGCACTATTTACCACAACATGGCCAGTTGGGCTCAGCCAGCACCCCATGCGTCATTAAGACAGACACCCCAGTCCCACACACCGCCTCAGCGGCAGGCAGCTCTGCCAACAACTTCCACACACAAAGCATCCCACCAACCATCGCACTGGTCACTCCAGTGACAGGTTCTATTTGACATCACCAGGCCCTCCCCTGAACTGGCAGCCTTGTCATCCCATGCAGTGCTCCAGAGCCAGTGGGGCTCGGCCAGCAACCCTACTCCCTCAGCAGACCACTCAGCTGCCTGCTATTTAGAGCCAGCTCATTCTGCCAGTGACTCTGTGGCCCCAGTTGGCACACCCTGTCAGTTTGGCACTCCAGGGACAGGCTCACGAACACTGGGCCCTCTGTGCCTCCAGGACACTGCACTGCTCCACACCAACTACTTTAGGACCAGATCCCTGCACTTCTAACCCACAGGCTGCTCCAAGCCCAGGCAGGCACAGATGGCGTGTCTACTGTTCCTAGATCCTGTCTGCCTGGCTGCCCTGCAGGGTGCTCCAGGACAAGGCAGGCTCAGAAGGTTCTACACACCCTCCGGTACCCCAAGCCTGCCCACCATGCACTCTGGTGCCAGGCCAGCTGGCTGACACCCCTCCAGGTCCCAGTCTGCCACCTGGACTCTAGCCCACCCGCACCACTGCCCCTGCCCCACCAACTGTTCCAGGTACACAGACTTAGCCACCCACCTGCTTCCTCAGTAGGCTGCTTGGCTGCCCACTGATCTAGGGCTGGGCCCATATGACAGCAATCTGTAGCACCAGGCCCTGGGATCTGAATCCCCCACCCCAGAGCATGCCCACCTCACTAACACGCTTACCTGTTTCAGCAATTTAAAAAAAGGCTCATGTGTGACCTCCCACATTCCTAGCCCACCTACCAGCCCCTCTACGGTCAGCCGAACTTGGCTGACGCCTCATGCACCTCAAGCTGCTGGCCCCTGCTGCTCTTGGGCAAAGCATGCTATTCCATCAGCAATCCTCCCCACCACACCCCTTGCCTACAGATACCTGCCATCCACTCCAGGGCCACATCAGCTAGCTAGCATCCAGCCACATCCAGCATGCCCACCATGCCACCATGTCCACCCTGCCACCCTACCTGTTGCTGCAAAGCCACACTGGCTAGGACAGCATCCATCACATCCCCAGCCCACCTGTTCATTGCAACACCTCAAGGCCAGCTCCACTGAAGCCTGCCCACACAAAGCAGGTTTGTGTACTGTCCCATTTGCTGCTGCAGGTCCTGCTGCCCTTCACTAGGTATGAACCCTAGCCTGCCAGCACCACAGCTCATCTGCTACTCCAGGGCAGGATGGGATCACCCAATTTTCATGCTCCCTCAGCAGACAGCACTGCCACCTGCTGCTCTAGCACCTGGCCCATTTTGTCAGAGACTCCGAGCCCCAGTTTGGCATGCTCTGTCATTCCTCCTGGCACTTCAGGACCAGGCTCACTCCCACAAGGACTGCCATGCTTCTAATATTCTAGGCAGCCAGGCACAGGACAACTGGACTGGAAACCCCTATGCCTTTAGCCTACCCACCCAGTTGTGCCATGAGCTGCTCCAAGACCAGGTGGGCTCTACCAATACTTGCCAAGTTCCTAATGTCCACCTGTCCCACCACCACTCCCAGGTGCTTGAGGACCATTCCACGTTGGCCAGTGTATCTGGCACCCTCCATTCACCCCAGGGTCAAGCTGGCCCACAGAACACCCTGTCTTTCCCAGCTTGCCTCTAAGCTGCTACAGGGCCAGGCAGGCTCAGCTGTTGCCCACCATGACTCTAGCATACCCATGCCACTTTCCCACCCACTGCTCCAGTGACTAGCAGGAAGTTCACCTAGCTCCAGGGCCAGGGGTGCTCGGCCAGAGAGCCCAACACCCAAGCCACCTGCTGGCTGCTCCAGAGCCAGGCCCAGGATGTCGGATCACCCTGTGTCCCAAGCCCACCCACTACCTGCTTCATTGCCAAGCAGGCTCCTCTGATACCCCTGCACCCACAGCACTATCATTGTCCATTTCATGGGCCAGCTGGACTCTCCCAGGCCCCCTCCCCACCGCACTCCTACCTTGTCCACCCTGCTACCCTGCCAGCTGCTCCAGGATCAGGTAGGCTAGCCCAGTGACCCAGCATCCCCAGCAGGCCACTCACTGGCCTGCCCCTCCAGCACCAGGACCACTTGTCCTGTGTCCACTGCACACCTTGCACATCCATTCCACAGCACCTTTCCCACTCCGGGGACAGGCCAGTTCAGTCGGTGACCCCGTGTCCACAGTGCAATAACCCTTGTCCCCAGGACCAGGCTCCCAAGCCCAGGGTCCCCAGCTCATCTAGCCAGCATGCCCTGCTACCACACCCACTGTTCCAGGGCTAGGCTGGCTGGTTCTGGTAGTACCTCCTGAGTCCCCAGCTGGCCTGCTAACCATTAGTGCCAGGCAGGCGCAGCCAGTGCCCACAGTCACCACCTGGCAGCTGGCTGCTCCAGAACCACGTTGACTTGGCTGGAACATCCAGCTCGTAGGCCTTCCATAGCCAGGCTGGCTCTGCCTGTGCCTCCTGTGCCCACAGCCTTATCACCATCCTCTCCAGAGCCAATTTGCCAGCCTCCTCATACCCAAACCATCTTGCCTGCCACTCCAGGTCCAGGAGGGCTCAGCCAGTTCCCCCAGCACCCATAGTTGCTGGCTGCCAATGGCTCCACCTTCCAAGAGTTGGTCTTGCTCCCCTCCCCGCAGTGTAGCACTTAAGTGTTCCAGAGTTGGTTCCTGGTTCTTCTGGATTGGGCTTCAGTCTTCACACAGCAAAACTAGGACTTGAGACAATATCATTGCTCTTCATAGAGTCATCAAATGATGCTGTTACTTGGAAGCGTAACTGTGTCAGAGCTTTGTCCATTCACATTCCATCCTTCTGACTCCGACAACTTTGGCTTGAAAATCTTATGTTTTTCTACATGTCTGTGCTGCATCTCTTGCAAGACTGTGCGTTTCTCTTCAGCCTGGGCTCTAAGGGGGCATGAAGAAGAGTGGTACATAACATAGTGCCACTATAGGTTCTATGTGCAGAGAGGCGTCCCTGGAAAAGTTATTTGACAAATGAGAAGATAACATTACATAAGTGGGAAAAGTGTGGCATCTCTATGTCCAAATCAAAGATGGACTCCCAATCAAACTGTTGGACATATCTAGACAATGGTATGCTGAATTGTCTGAGATTGTATGTATCGGCGATGTTGGGACACACTTAACTAATTAATAGACTGAGAAATTTATGACTGCTAATGAAGGGCTAAACTATTCTTATAAAATGAGGAAAATCAATCAGCAGGTAGGAATTTGAGGAGAGAGAAAGGAAATCCCTGATCCTACGGAACTATACTATGAAACTCAATATTTTTTAAAAAGCCCAACTCTTGGGCCTGGCGCCCCCAAGAGTGGTTAGGGTCCTCGCCTTGCACGCCCAGGATCCCATATGGGCACCGGTTCTATCCCGGCAGCCCTGCTTCCCTTCCAGCTCTCTGCCTGTGGCCCAGGAAAGCAGTTGAGGATGGCCCAAAGCTTTGGGACCCTGCATCCATGTGGGAGACCCAGAAGAGTCTCCTGGCTTCGGATCGGCATAGCATTGGCCGTTGCGCTCACTTGGGGAGTGAATCATCGGACGGATCTTCCTCTCTGTCTCTCCTCTCTGTATATCTGCCTTTCCAATAAAAAAAATAATAAAAATAAATCTTAAAAAAAAAGCCCAAGTCTTAGTAATATGCCAAATGATTTTAACAATGATTTAATGTGTGCCTCCTAGATTAAAATGACAGCTGTATTTCTAAAAATTTCACTTTGTTAAAACACTGCAAAAACTATTTTATGTTTATATGTAAATATGCATAAAACTGAATCGAATTTAAATTAAAATAGGAATCTCCTTGACCAACCTGAAAAATTCTTAGGATGAACACAATTCGTCATTGTTGGGACTGCCCTGAGTACTAACCATCTAGCACAATGAATGGCAACACCTTTCACTCTCTGTACAAAGATGCCCTCACAAAACCCCAAAGAGAATGACCCTGACCTGGGAATGATACCACTGCATTAAACCACTACTCTCACAAGCCACTATCATGTATATCCAGTAAACGGTACCCTAGATCCATAGCCAGGCTCCCATTTGATCTCATACAGTTTCTGTACTTCATGTTTTTTTTTCAAGATGTATTTATTTTTATTTCAAAGCCAGATTTACAGAGAGAAGGGGAGACAGAGAGAAAGATCTTCCATCCACTGGTTCACTCTCAGAATGACCTCAATGGCGGGAGCTGAGCTGATCTGAACCCAGCAGCCAAGAGCCTCTTCTGGGTCTCCTGTTCAGGTGCAGGGTCCCAAGGCCTTGAGCCATCCTGCTCTGCTTTCCCAGGCTACAAGCAGGGAGCTGGAAGGGAGGTGGAGCAGCCAGGATGCGAATTGGTGCCCAGGTGGGATCAAGATGTGCAAAGCAAGGACTTGTGCCACTAGGCTACCGTGGCCAGACCAATGTTCTTCATGTGTTGTTATCTCTCACCTGGCCTTACGTTTCTTTGTGATTCCCATCTGTTCATTCTACACCAAAAGCAAAATGAACTTTGTATTCTGCAGAGATTATTTCAATGTTCAATCAATAATTATTGCATACAGATAGTACACCCGGCCTGCTCTAAAACTAGATCACAGCCTTACCCCTCAATTAAGCATGAACAATTTAGTCACCCACAGCAATTCTGAGTGCTTCATTTTCCATTTTATATACTACGTTTCTGCATAAGATATTCTTTTTTAAATGTGTATTTATTTTCATTGGAAAGTCAGATATACAGAGAGGAGGAGAGGCAGCCAGGAAAATCTTCTGTCTGTTAATTAACCCTCCAAGTGGCCAAAATGGCCAGAGTTGTAAAAATTCAAAGCCAGGAGCCAGGAACTTCTTCTGGGTCTCCCACATGGGTGCAGACTCCTAAGGCTTTGGGCTGCCCTCAAATGCTTTCCCACACCACAAGGAGCTAGATGAGAAACAGGTCTGCCTGGATTAGAACCGCTGCCCATGAGGGATCCTGGTGTGTGCAAGGTGAGGATTTTAGTTACTAGGCTACCATGCAGTTCCCAAGATATTCTTTTAACAAAATGAAATACAGCATTTTTAAAAGTTTGCAAATCCATCTGCAGGACTAAATCTAAATTGATAAAATAATTTTTATATCTACATGTAACCATTACCATGCCATTAACAGCTTAATGTTGGGCTGGTGCCATAGCCTTGTGGCTATAGTCCTCATCTTGTACATGCTGGGATCCCATACAGGCACCAGCAGCCCTGCTTCCCACCCAGCTCCCTGCTTGTGAACTGGGAAAACAGTCAAGGATTGCCTAAGCTTTGGGCTACTGTACCCATGTGGGAGACCCAGAAGAAGCTCCTGCACCTCCTGCCTTCGATCCAGTGCAGGTCCAGTTGCTGCAGCTGCTTGGGGAGTGAATCAGTGGATGGAAGAGATTCCTGTCTCTCCTCCTCTCTATATATCTGACCTTACAATAAAAATAAATCTGAAAAAATAAAAACAGCCTAATGTAGTTTTACATCTCCTTCCATCCATCTTCCAAAATAACATTATCCATCTTCTTCCATCCATTTTCCAAGTAAACTCCAGAACTAGCTGACATTCCCTCTTACCTCTGGCAAGTCGCCACTCAAGCTGCTAGCTCCTCCTGATAAACCCCCTCAGCAACAACTCCCTTTCCCAAGTCTATCCACCTGTCAGTTGGCACTCAGCACTCTTAGCTCTGCTGAACCCAGAGACCTTCTCGGACTCTAACCCCTCTGATAGGATTAACTGTTTCTGCCACTGCAGACATTAATGGGAGATGAGCTTAGTTCAAAGAGTTACACAGAGAGGGAGAAGCAGATTTGTTTCACTCCTCATTATTTCATCTAGGTCTCCCACAGGGTAGAAGGGGCCCAGGTCCTTAGGCTATCTCAGCCAGTAGCAAGGAGCTGGATCAGAAGTACACTTATGGGAGTTGAATGGGCACCACATGGATTGCCAGCATCATGGCCACATCTGTATCTGCTAGGTGACAATTATATGGCCATCCGTGGTAAAAATAATGTTGGCTCTTTATGTCAAACTAAAAGTAAAAAGTAAAGCAAAATGAACAAAGGCCAAAACATACACTATGCATTATAAAATTGTTAGAAGCAAGTATAGCAGCATACCTTCATAACCCTGGAATAGTACTCTTTCTTTTTTTTTTTTAAGATTTACTTATTTTTATTGGAAAGTCAGATGAACAGAGAGAAGAGACAGAGAGAAAGATCTTCCACCTATTGTTTCACTTCCCAAAGTGCTGCAATGGCCAGAACCTAGCCAAGCCAGGGGCTTCTTCCTGGTCTCCACAAGGGTCCAGGGGCCCAAGGGTTTAGACAGTCCTCTACTGCTAGAGCTGGACCAGAAGTGGAGCAGCCAGGATAAGAACCAATGACCACACGGGATCCTGGTGCATGCAAGGTGAGTACTTCAGCCACGAGGCTAAAGTTAAGTACTCTTATAAAAGGTCTAATTTAAAACTGGTATATGACCTTAGCAGACAGTTTTCTAAGAAAGATATACAAATGGCCAATAAGCACAAGAAAAGATGCTCAGTATTAATAGTCATCAGGGAAGTGTAAACCAAGATCACATTCAGATACCACTAACTCCTTAGGACAGCTGCATTCAGAAAGACAGACAGCAAGTGTCGGCAGGGAAGGAGACCAACTGGAACCCTCATTTACTGCTGCAAGGAACGAATGTAAAAACGCTGTGGTCACTTTTAGAAATGGGCATTTCCTTAAATAATCAGACAAAATGACTATATGCTACAGTAATTCCACTCCGATAACAGGTTCACAAAAACACAGGGCTGGGGCCACAGCATGTTAGGCTAAGCTTCCACCTGCAGTGCTGGCATCTCGTTGGGTTGCCGGTTCCAGTCTTGGCTTGTCCACATTTACTAAGCCAGCTCCCTGCTGTGGCCTGGGAAAGCCAGCAAAAGCTGGTCCAAAGCCTGGGCCCCTGCATCCACATGAGAGACCTGGAAGAAGCTTCTGGCGACTAGCTTCAGATCAGCTCAGCTCCAGCCATTACAGCCTCTTGTGAACAAGTGACCCAGCAGATAGAAAATTCGCTTTTTCTCTCTCTGATTTTCAAAACATTTTTTAAAAACTATACAAATGGAAGCAGTATTCATAACAGTCAAACTGTGAAAACACCTAATGATTTTATCAATTAATAAAATATAATCTTCAACAATAGTATTGGCTATAAAAAGGAATAACTTCCCATATTTATACAACATAGATGAAATGTATAATATGCTGCTGAGCATGAAAAAAATGAAAAATCTAGCCACAAGACAACATTCTTGAGAAAAGTCCAGGTAGGGAAATTAAAAAAAAAAAAAAAAAAAAAAAAAGAAGGGCTTGGTTTGTAAAAGAACAACTGGTCCTGGCACAGTTGCTCCATTGGTTAATCCTTCCCTTGCAAGCACTACGATGCCATATGTGCTGTGACAGTGTCCTGGCTGCTTCACCTCCCATCCAGCTCCCTGCTTGTGATCTTAGAAAGCAGCAGAGAGTGGTCCAAAGGCTTGGGACCCTGCACCCACCTGGGAGACGGGGCTCCTGATGGGCTCTGCTATGGCAGTTGGGGCCATTTGGGAAGTGAATTAGTGGATGGAAGATCTTTTGTCTCTCTGTAAATCTGATCTGCCATTTTAAAAAAGGAGAAGAAGCAGCAAAAGTGTTAACTTTGCTAAATGTGGGCATACTACCATGGTCATATTGCAGTACTTTTATTTTTGGTGCATGTCAAAGTACTAAGGGATAAAGTGTTACATCACCAACTTACTTTCAAATATTTCAGCAAAGAAGAAAACTAAGCTAATGTGACAGACACGAATTAATAATTAGTGAATTAAAAGGATACTAGATTGGCATTGTGGCTTAG